GGGACTAAATGACCATGAGATTTGGGAGGGGAAAATACAAACCTAGTTCTGATAGTACCAGAGTTCTAATGAGGTGGTACCTTGCGACCCATTTTTAATAATGTTCAGGCTGTGTTATTCTTATTATCTCCATATTAGTATATAGTCCTGTGCCATCCCATCAGCCCTTAAGCATGCAGGCTTTATATATACCATATGTAGTGGAAATGATGATATATAAGACTGGTATAATATTCAAATGTAATCTTTCATAGCAATAGGCTAAAGAAGGAGAATCTTTATGATCATATAATTGTCCATGTCAAATTATAATACCTGAAAAAATCCAACACTCATTCATGTTTAAAAAAAAAACAAACATGTAATTAACTAGAACTAGAAAGCAACTTCTTAAACTTGATAAAGAACATTTATGAAAGTCCTGCAGCCAAGGTCAACTTTTATAATGGCAACATGAGAATTTTCATGGGTCAATTCCCCAAAAGAACAACCATAAATGGTGAAAATATTATACATTAAGAAGACAAACCATTTAAAAACCACTCATAATTGTGTTAATGGCATGCATCAAATAAATGAAGAAACATTAATTCAAGAAAATATACAAAAACATGTTAAGGACAATGAAAATCCACAGTATTTTAATGTACACTATTTAAATCCCCTTGCCTTTTCAGCCTTGTATGAATAAAATTCCACCAGATATAGTCCAGAATACAAAATTCACACCTCACTGTCCCTTTTCTACTAGAGGGCTGGTTACCCTCTCAGGAAAGCTTGCCTACAACTTTTCTCACCTCCTCCCTAGCTATGTTTTTGAGAAGCTGATTTCTAGATGGGTATGGTCAAGAGTTTGGGGATCCCTTCTAAATTGCTCCACTTACAGAATAGAGGCTCTATCCTAGATATGGCACATTAAGAATATGAAGCCCTAATCACTCTTTCTTCCAGCTATTGACCAGGAAGAGGCTCCATAGTGGGAAGGGCCTGCTGGGATCACATGCTACTAAACCTACCAAATGACCTGCATCTGAAGGAATCTCATCACATGGAGACAAATGGCCCACTATCACTATTCCCAGGTGTGAGAACTGAATCTGAAGAGATTCTTCTCAGGAGGAAAGAAATGTCTTATGAACAGAGACTTTCAAAGGCCTCCCAAAGGAAGCGATTTTATTTGAAACAGGATTATTTCAAACGTATGGGTGTTTATAGCTATACAACACTGGTTAAACTTTAGGCCAGCTAATTGACCCCAAGAGATCCAGAGAAGGAGAAATATGGGAAGACCATACATGTGGTTAAAAAAAACCTCTAATGTTGTCCTCAAAAGCCATCCCTCCAAAGGGAGCCCAGTTTAATTGGTTATGAATGTGACACCTTATTTCTCAGCACATTGTCGAAAACAGTAGGAACATCAGCTGGCAATTAGTGGAACTTAACAGCTGGATATGATCATTGAAAAGAAGTAAGGGGAGTTCTGCTAAAGCTGTGGCCATCTTAGTGACAGTGTGCACACTGTAACTTGCTGAGAGTATCATCAGAAGCTATCATCATCATACTTCAGTGGAAATAACGTATTATGAAAACAGTCCACCCAGTCACTAAACAATAAACAAGGATTTAACAGATGAGTCCCCATTCTTGCTACATTAGATCATTTTAAATGCCCACTTCTCAAACACAAACTAAAAATCATGTGACAGCCTGAAAGTGTGAGTGATCCTTATACCAGAAAATAAGCAGGCATACGAATCTCTCATACTTATGATTGCAACTGTAGAAGACTTAAAAATAGTCATGATAGGGCCCTCCCTGGTGGCGCAGCGGGTTAAAGCACAGCACTGAGAAGCTTAAGCCACTTCGGCATGAGTTCGATTCCC